TCTCCAGATGCCCGGCGCTCCCCTACCCCTCCTGGACTCTGCAGGGCCCCACCCCGTCTGCATAATCCCGCCCTTGGTGTTCTGCGGGCACGTTTGTGCGAACACATGCACACGCACACACACACACACAAAGACTGGCTACATCTAGTTGGGTTTTCTCAATTAATGTTCAACGTACTGAAGTGAAAAATTTTAAACTTAGTGTTTCCTTAAGCTTTTAAGTTTAACAAACCAGTTTCATTATTCTGTTCAAGGATCTAGTAAATTTAAACGATCATGTTCAAGGATAGGTAGGTTATAACTTAGGTAATTAGATTTCTTGGACTATCGTGAAGTGATTTTATAAATTTAACGTATCCTGTTTTCTTAAGTGTATAAATACCCATCCTAAAAAGTAGGACTTTGCCAAGCTCCGTAACAGTTCTTAAATTTAATAGGGTAAGCTTATAAATATGGTGACTATTAAGTTCTCTTAAACATTTCAAAATTGTTACAAACCTGGCCAAATCCTCTCTCAGTGTTCTGCTTAAAATCATAAGCCTAAAATCAATTACTTAATCACCTGTTTAAAGTGGAATTGGAAGACCACGCCGTGTCAGATGTATCTAGTTGTATGGAACATCGCAAAAGTGTGAAATGCCAGATTCCTACATTCCTAAGCTCATGGGACTTGTTTCCTTTCGTGTCTCCCTGTTTCATTCGACCCCTTCCTGTGTCGAGGACACCCATGCTGAGGAAGCCACCCCACTGTCCAGAGCAAGCGAGCCCGCAGGTGGAGCTGCGCCTGCTTTGCAGTCCGCATGTGACCAGGGGTGGTCTCAGCCCCATCTTCTGGAGGGAGTGACTTGTTTCCTCTCCATCTTCACACCCCGTGACCACCAGCAGCCTCCTCTTCCCTGCCCTGTCTGGATGGCTTCATCTCTGCATTGGTCTGTTTACTGCCTGATTCTTTCAGAGTCCTTTCCCTGTTCTTCCCATACCTGAGGGCCCCACCCTTGCGGCTATTTGGGGGCATCCTCTTGGACCCCTGGATCTTGCACCCCAGGCCGTGCTACTGGGGACAATCCCAGGCAGCAGAGGAAGGTCTCCCTCGTGGTGCAGAAGTCCTGCTGCAGCAGAGCTGCCTGGTGGCCATCTCTCCTCGGCTACACACTTCCCATGACCGTGAGCTCACCACTTTTTTTTTATTGTGATAAAATATACATAACATAAAATTTACCATCTTAACCACTTTTACGGGTAGTATTCAGTGGCATTAAGAACACTCACATTGTCGTAAGACCATCAGCACCACTCATCTCCAGAACTTTTTCATCTTCCCAAACTGAAACTCTGTACCCATTGAACGCTAAATCCTGATTCCCTCCTCCCCCGGCCACCTTCTGCTTTCTGTCTCTGTGCATCTGACCACTCCAGGTACCTCACAAAAGTGCAATCACACGGTGTTTGTCCTTTTGTGACTAGATGATTTCACTTAGCATAATGTCCTCAAGGTTCACCATGTAGCCTGTGTCAGAATCTCCTTCACCACTTGTTTTTAAATGTTCTTTCTCCTGCTGAGCTGAGAACCATCTTGGGAAAGTGGCCCTACAGGAGGCATTCCTGATGGCCCAGCCCTGCCCCAGCAGAGGAGGGCGTGCCAGGGACACGGGCACCACAGAAGACCAGGCCGCAGAGGCAGCCAGTGGACTCTGGCACTAACGGTCTTGGTGGCCCACGGTGGCGCTCTTGGCTGAGGTCAGCAGCGGCAGGGGTTGGGGGGAGGTCCAGGCGCACTTGCCTGGATCTTTTCGCCCTTTAGCCTGGTGTGCCCCTCGGGGAAGATCCACTGTATTCGCTTCCTAGGGCTGCCGAACCACTTACCATGGACTGGGTAACTTCGAACAACAGAAATTTATTCTATCAATTCTGGAAGTCTGCAGAGGCTCCAGGGGAGATTTCATACTTTGTCCCTTCCAGCTTCTGGTGGTCACGGCCACATCACTCCCATTTCTACCACCTTCTCCGTGTCTGTCTCCTCTGCGGTCTCTTATGAGGACACCTGTATTGGATGTAGGCCTCACCTGGATAAAGCAGGATGACCTCATCTCGAGGTCTCTAACTTAATCACAAAGACCCTTTCTCCAGCTGAGATCATATTCACAGGGTCTGGGATGATGGCGTGGGCATGACTTTTTTTTTTTTTTCCTTTTTGTCTTTTTTCGTGTCCGGCAACGGATCGCAACCCTCAGTGTCCCGCCCCGTAGGGGC